TACGGTGTTAAGGGGAGACTTCAATGCAAAACTAGGCACAAGAGAGAACGGTGAGCTGAAAGTAGGGAAATTTCAAGGGGCCAGCAGTTGGCCGACTTCATGGAGAAAGAGGGACTCTTTATGATGAACTCTTTCTTCCAGATCCGGCCACACAGGAAGTGGACCTGGTCGAGCCCCGACGGTTCGACAAAAAATGAGATTGATTTCATTATGACGACCAGACGACAACTGTTCAGTGATGTCTCTGTGATCGCGAGGGTGAAAACTGGTAGCGATCACCGAATGGTTAGGGGCACACTGAACCTAAACGTTAAGTAGGAGAGGTCTCGTCTAATGAAGTCAACGCTCCGACCCTTCGTGCTCTGTTTCAAAGTCCCGAAACCTTTCAGCTGGAGTTACAAAACCGTTTTCAGTGCCTAGAAGACTGCAATGAAGTGGACGATGTGAATGACAAGCTCGTAGAAACTGTTCATGCGGTCGGAGCTAAGTTCTGCAAGACCCGCCGCAGAAGAACTCAAAAACTCTCCGATCACACTCTTAATCTCGGGACGGGACATGAAGCTACATTCTTCAACAGATTTGACAGCATACAGGCAACTGAACAGACAGATCTCCAAATGTATGCGGCGGGACTTACGCAACTTCAATACAGCTTGTATTGAATAAGCGATCGAGCGGAACCAAGGCTCCAAAGTCTTTGCCAGAGATCTGTCTGCCAGAAAGAGCCAACTGTCAAAGCTAAAGACCGAATGTGTACAGTGGCAGCATCGTTTCCGGGACACCTGAGATTTTGAGTGAGATTGAGAGGTTCTATGGGCAGCTGTACACGTCATCGTTGGTGCCACACGCAAGTGTGAGTAACGGTCCAAGAGCGAGTCTAATCCGACACTATTCCGAAGATATCCCGGACGTCAGTCTGAGCGACATAGAATGGCTCTCCAGCACCTTAAAAACGGAAAGTCCCCGGGCGAGGATGGAATTACAGCGGAGCTTTTGAAAGCGGGTGGAAAACCGGTACTTGAAGTCCTTCAGAAGCTCTTTAATTCCGTCCTCCATGGTGGCACTACTCCAGAAGTGTGGAGCAGAAGTGTGGTGGTCTTGTTCTTCAGGAAAGGTGACAACGCTCTCTTGAAGAACTACAGACCGATTTCCCTTCTGAGCCGCGTCTACGTGCTGATTTCGAGAGTCATTACGAATCGTCTCGCACGCAGACTTGACGACTTCCAGCCTCCCGAACAAGCTGTTTTCCGAAAATGCTTTAGTACCATAGACCACATACACACTCTTCGGCAAATTTTACAGAAGACAAACGAGTACAATCTGCCACTTTGCCTTGCGTATGTGGACTATGAGAAAGCCTTTGATTCCGTCGAAATTTGGGCGGTGCTGCAGTCCCTCCAGCGGTGCCAAGTTGACTGTCGGTATACCGAAGTGCTGAAGTATTTGTACAGTAGAGCTACGATGGCTATCCGAGTACAGAATCAGAGTATGAAACCTATCCAACTCCAGAGAGGTGTAAGACAGGATGACGTTATATCCCCGAAACTCTTCACCGCTGCATTGGAAGACGTTTTCAAGCTGCTCGACTGGAAAGGATGCGGTATTAACATCAATGGCGAGTACATCACTCACCTTCGATTTGCCGACGATATAGACCTTATAGCAGAATCGATGGAGGACTTAAGCACTATGCTCAATGACCTCAATAGTGTCTCCCAACGGATAGGTCTTAAGATGAACATGGACAAAACAAAATCATGTTTAACCACCATGTCACGCCTATGCCAGTAGTTGTTGGGAGCACTAAGCTCGAAGTTGTTGACGAGTATGTTTACCTGAGACAAATAGTCCGACTAGGTAAGTCCAACTTCGACCGAGGGGTCAATAGACGGATTCAACTCGGCTGGGCAGCGTTCGGGAAACTACGACACATCTTCTCGTTAGACATACCTCAAAACCTTAAAACGAAATTGTACAACCAGTGCGTGTTGCCAGTGATGACTTACGGATCTGAGACGTGATTCTTCACTGCTGGCCGTATGAGGAAGCTCAAGGTCGCTCAGCGAGCTATGGAGAGGGCTATGCTCGGGGTTTCTCTGCGTGATAAACTTAGAAATGAGGATATCCGCAGTAGAACCAGAGTAACCGACATAACCCAACGGATTAGTAAGCTGAAGTGGCAGTGGGCCGGCCATATAGCTCGAAGAACCGTCAACCGATGGGGAAGAAAGGTTCACGAGTGGCAGCTTCATACTGGTAAGCGAAGTGTAGGGCGACCCCCCACGATATGGAGTAACGACCTGGTAAGACATGCAGGAAGTCGATGGATGCAGGTGGCTCAGGACCGTGCTTTGTGGCATTCCTTGGGGGAGGCCTATGTTCAGCAGTGGACTTGTGAAAGGCTGTAATGATGACTGGCAATCGACCTTGATGAAGAGATTCTTGAATCTTCTGTACAATTTGCCGAATAGTATGTACGTGGTCTATGGTACTAAAGTCTTTTCGGAAACTGGCTCGTTCGGGGCTGGAAGTCGTATAGTCTGCGTGCGTGGCGATTTGTAATGACTCTCGAAAACAGTACGTAGACGTGGCTCAGAAGGGAAATTTGTCTGTAGTTCTTCAAAAGAGCGTTTTCACCTTTTTTGAAAACAAGACTACTGAAGTTATGCTCCGCGCAGCTGCTTAAAGAGCTTCTAAATAACTTTTAGTACTAGTTTCAGTAGCTTCGCTGTAATTATATCTTCACACGGGGCCTTGCCGTTTTTAAGGTTCTTGAGAGACATTCTAATCTCGCTTGGAAGTACGTTCGGCAGCAAGTCGTTACTAACCATATGATTTATATATGTCCTTCGAACTCAAAATCTCAGGTGTCCCGGAAATGAAGCTGTCACAGTCGATATTCAACTTAGACTCATTACGGCAGGCAGATCTCCGGCAAAAACTTTGGGGCCTTGTTACTATTCGATCGCTTCTTCAAAACTAGTTGTATAGATGTCAGGTAGATCTGTCTAGTCATATCCCTAGTAAGACTCTAGTTTCATCTGCCATCTAACAACCATGAACTTAATAGTGTGATCTGCTGGTCTGGAAAACTTAACTCCAACCGCACGGACAATTTCCTCGAGGTTGTGATTTATATCGTCTACTGAATTGCAACCTTCTAGGACTAGGTAATTCGTTTTAATTATATGTTTAATCATTGTCAATTATTCTGGACGGTTCATTTAGAGAAGTTTGTTTTTGATAAGAGTTGTTGGTTAATTGAATCATGTTAAGTTTTCTCATAAATGTGAAATATAGGTATTGTATATTTTAAAATAATATTCTTTATTGCAAATAACTTTTTCTACCTACACCTTTTACAATGTTAGTACTGGTAATTGGGTAATTCAGTGCCAATAATTGGCAACAAGTGTACCAATAAATGGGGGCACGGTTACGTTTCAATCTCATTTCCTAATTCTATTTAATTATCTACAAAATGCCGCAAAAACTACTTTAAATACTTAATTTAACATCATTTTAATATAATTATATTAAACAAGACATCTTATTAAAAGAAAAACTTAGGTGATATAATTAGTTTTTAATATAAAAAACGGAAATAGAAATTTTATACATTTTAAAGTGCCGATAATTGGTTGCCCGACATATATATTTAATTCACTATTAATTTTCCTACTACGAGTAACATATATGTCAACGAAACAAGACACAAAATGATGCGATGGCATTTTGTCTGACCGATGTAGCAAGTGTTTAATATTGATTCTCCATAACATGTATACTGTGGCAATCAATGTCAAAAATGATGTTTTAGTATGTTATAAGCATGTAGTAAGTAATAATTAAGCAAAACGTTTAAAAAAGTATTAAAAGTTAAAGTTAAAGTTACAGCCTATATACGTCCCACTGCTGGGCACAGGCCTCCTCTCATTTCTGAGAGGGTTTTAGGGCAAGGAAAATGTCCGCCGCGCTGCCCAAATGCGTGTTGGCGAACTTCACATATCTTCGAAATATTTTTTAAAACGTGTACCGTTAGATAAAATGTGTTTGCGTTTTTCACCTCTATTCTGTAAAAAACATATAAATACGAGTATTTTATTTATTTCGACTAAGGCTTTAATAGAATACAGCTAGGTGTAGCCGATTTCGGTAGTTTAAACTTTGTGAACATTAATTGTTGTGTGTGAAACTGATGTATTAGATTTATTCATGGTGCAAAACAGGTGTTTCTTCCGGCATTACCTATACTATGAATAAATCGAATATACCTAATCCTTATCCTTATACCTTTATCCAACAGCAATCAGCTGCAACTAGCTACAGCCGGCTAAAAAAAAATATATTTTTAATTTTAAAAAAATACAAAATATGTTAAATACGATCAGTTCTCCCGTCAATCTTTCAACTGAGAGTGATTGTCCATGCACTTGTTCTATCGCTTTTTGCATTTGCAGGATACTAAGAAATGTTTACCAGAATGTAATTAATTAAAAAAATGTTTTAGTTTCTCAAATAAACTACGGGGCTCTGCATGCCCCACATTACAGGCGGGTTCACAGCAGTACAATGTCAAGTGTCAAAATATATATTAAAAAAATATAAAATATGTATAAATCATATTGTAATTAGTAAGCCTCTGATAATTTTAGAATAGAGAGTTTTGCCTGATAGAAATTGAATTCAAAATAATTATAATAACGAAGTATCATGAACCACTACATGATACTTCGTTATTATAATTATTTTGAAATTGCGTTAAAAAATCTACAACATCATTTTGTTCCGTGGGTATTGTAAGAAGCCACTAACGGAAATGCCGGAACGACCTCATGCCTTCCAATAGATGGCAATACAACTGTCAATACAACCCAGACCCACAACGGAAAGGAGCGAGACGATATGGCAAAGATATAAAAATATCAGCACATAGAAGCCTCTCGTTGGAAGGTTATATTTTTGTATGATATCTTAAGTTATTTTTATTATTTTTCCAGTTTCGCAACGGGAAAGTCGGACAAAGAGATATTGGACAACCTTCTCAAAAACTCCCGCTATGACAAAAGACTGCTTCCACCCGTAGACGGTAAATACAAAATTTCACCATAATTTAAAATAGCAGGCTCTCACTTCTGAAAGAATTTTTGAAACAAGGTATTATTCAACTAATTTTGGGTTACAGGGTTAAATAAACAGGTTTATTTTTTTTTAATTTCAACAAGTAAAAATTTTCAGTAACCATTTAATGATACCGGGGATGATTACATTTAAAGGCGACCGTATATAAACATGGGGTGTAACATTGCAGATCCAGAGTTTTGTTGTGGCCTAACTTCGCCCAACGACAGTCTTACGATTGATAAGATCGGACTATCGTCGCTCCGGCCGCGGTCACACAATCGCGGTGTGTTGTGTTTTATGTTTCTGAAAAGAGAAATTTTCGTAGTACCGTAGTAATATCTTCACTGCAACTTTTACTGCACGCGAATTCAGATCCAAAGTATGAGATTGTGTCTCATCACAATTACTGTTGTAACTCCGCTTTAGATAATATCTGCATTTGATCACAATCACTATATGTTTATGTGAGCACCTATTTTGATGTTGTATGTAGCTGAAGCACATTTACCATTTTATTTTTTATAACTATATTAAAGCTTATTATTTGATTGAAATAACGATATATCCAATTATATTCCAAAATTAAAACGAGTTTGTGTTTCTTTTAAAAAGCTTCATAATTACATTTGATTTTCTCTTTTCATAAACAAAGAACACAAATTTAGTGTCAACGTAAATAAATACGTGTGATTTCATATTACTTTCCAGTTATTTATCATTTTACTTGTTTAGAATACTTTTTATACTCTTTTAAATCAGATTAAACGAATTTTTGTTGAATATCCACCAGTTTTAAAAAGCATGAATACTAAGAAATAAGCTGTTTCTGAATGTTATCTGCTGAGTATAATCTATTTCCTTTTAAGCAAGCATATCTTTCAGCATTTTCGCATTCAATCTCTTCTCTTGAATTTGTATATCATCAATTAAAAGATGCCATAACACAAAAAAATTACCTCACCATTATATGTCCATATTAATTTTCAGGTGTCCTCACCGTAAATGTTAGCGTGCTACTTCTTAGTTTAGCATCTCCAGACGAATCTAGTCTTGTAAGTTATTTTGTTTTCTATTATCTATTTATATCATCTTTCTTTTTTTTTTTTGTAAAATTTCTTCTTCTAAGCTTTATTTGTTTCGTGTTTTTGATTATAGTAATTTCGCTATTATAAATTACTCATGTTTACAGAAATACGAAGTGGAGTTTCTTCTTCAACAACAGTGGTATGATCCCAGATTGCGCTACTCCAATCAATCTCACTACGACTATTTAAATGCCATCCATCACCACGAAGACATCTGGTTACCTGATACATACTTTATAATGCACGGTGACTTCAAGGTTAGATACCATTAACATATAGCGTGTTTAAATAATTTAGTGTTAGGTATTTAGTTAATTTGCATTCTATAGAAAAAAAAATGATTATTTCTGTAATCGTTATATTAGGCAACGATTAGTATAATACATGAAGCAAATACAAAGAGGAGACGTTGTAATTAAATTTCACTATGTAACAACGCGTGACAATTTGCGGGGTGAGGGTATGCAAAGCCCCGCCCACTTTACACTATCTACATCTACCGATAAATAGTAAAACTCGAATCTTTCCATATCGATGTTGCAATGTAGCTTAGCTACCTTGACGCTAGATGGCGGCATGTCCACAAAATGTTATAAACTATAAAAATAATATTTTGGCGATTAAAATTTCTTTATGTCTGAATGCAAAACAAATTTCAGCACCTTCGTATGATTATTTTATCATTACTGAGCTCTACGTACCTTTATATTTTTAGTTCACAGGACACAAAGTGTCGCCATCTAGTGTGGAATATATTTAATTATATTTGAAAGCCGACGCAAAGAGATTTTTCTAGAACTATTTTAATAAATTAGGTGTAAAATTACTTACAAATGAAATGTGATGCCATCCACAGCATCGGAGCGTCTATCTGAGTAGTTTTTACACACTGAAACACAACACTTAATCCTTTTCTTCTTAATACTGCGAAAATACACCGATTTGTCATTTTTTCAACACATAAGCACACAGGACGAATGCTGACAGTATACTAACTAAAGCCACGCCCACTATGATGACGTCAGGACATACTTAGAATCACAGTGCACAGTTGCTTATGCCGTCTCCCCTTTGTATTAGCTTCATGGTATAATAATAGGTTCATTAATGTGTGTTTCATCTCGGTATTTTGTTACATTGCAGGATCCAATAATACCAATGCATTTTGCATTGCGCATTTATCGCAACGGCACAATCAACTACTTAATGCGACGTCATCTAATCTTGTCCTGTCAGGGACGGCTCAACATATTTCCCTTTGACGACCCATTGTGTTCATTTGCTTTAGAAAGTAGTGAGTAAAATTAGTCATATTTTCAATTATTTAATAGAAAATAATGTTATTGTTACAGAATAATTCCACTTTGATCAATTTATTAGCTTCAGATTTTTCCACTCAATTATACTGTGTTATCTAAATCGAAATTTTATTTCATTTAAAATATTTAGAACGTTGACACTGATATATAAGTTAAGTATTAAACTAATCGTAGCGCTTTCTACATTTCGATTTTCACTTAGAGTTATAAATAATAATGATTCATATTTTGTATGATATATTTCACCATGTAGTGGCGCTTAAGAGAATTCACTACCTTTTATCATCCCGTGAGTGTCGTTAGGGCAACAGACGGAAGGCAGAAACAGGAGATAAGCAGCAGCATCCTGATAGCAAACTTAAAATAATAAATTACCGTGGTTGCCAATCCGCTTGCCGAGCGAGTCAATTGTTCTTCATGAGGTGATTTATGCAGGAGGCCATAATTCAACGGTGGACAGATGCTCTGTAATGGTGATGATAATAATACATTTTTTGGAATCAACGGGGTATTTTTCTGTGATAAGGAAGAGCCTTACCCCAAGACGGATATTCTTAACAGACGGATATTCTTAAATAAAACTTCTTCCACGTCTTTGGGGCGTGCACCTGATGAAATTATCAAATATATCAAGAGGATATCCGGGCTGCTTGAAATTTGAAGAATAGGTTTTTGACAATATTATATTCATGTCGCAATATGCCCGTACGACCAAATGAGATAACCGTGTGAGACAACTTCATCTACTAATAATAGCTATGAAAATTGATTAAATTATCATTTCGTATTCCTCTATTTCCTCCCCAAGAGTGGATCCGAAGCGAATAATTTCAAGAGCGATATAAGAAAAATTTTAGCTATCCCTGTTTCTTTTCTTTTACTTTTATGTCCGGCAGAGGTGTGTAAAACAGGCTAACGATCCCCAAATCCCTACGACGCTGCACCTGGAAGGATTAGCATCAATGACAACTACATAACAGAATAAAAATCGGATGGTTTTTTTCATAATTTAGTTTTTAAATTAATTAGTTTATGGAAAAATGCAGAGGAACTTGGCAGTGGTGCATATAGATTTCATCGCTAGAAAATATTTGGTTGAAGTTTTTATCCAAGGAGAAAAGATATTCCTCTCTTTTCTCCTTGGATAAAAACTTCAACCAAATATTTTTATATGGACTAAACTTCACCCGGATATCCAATTAAATTCATAATACATTTTTCTTAAATTACGTCATTGTTTCTTATACAGATTTTATTTAATATAAACGTTCATCGTTTCTTTAAAACAATTTATAGAACGGTAATTATTTTCTTAGCATTAAAATTTAGTTTGGGCTAATTTAAAATAATCTAAGCTTATTTTTATTACATTGAAATACAAAGAAATTACTCATCAGTTTTAATGTCGCATCGGTTTAATTCAACAGTATCGTACGAGCAGTCTGCCATTACCTACGTTTGGAAGAATGACGAAGCCACTCTCCGAAAATCGCCTTCACTTACAACTCTTAACGCGTATCTCATCCAGAACCAAACCATACCCTGCCCTATTAAGGCGAGCTGGAGAGGTAACGGCCGTTTCTCTTATGCTTCTACAAATAAATATAACTGCTTAAGACACATCTTCAGATTTAATTTCTTTGGTTTTGAGACATCTTTAAACTTAATTTCTCTGAGTTTCATAGAGTAATCACCTCATAACTTTTTCTTTTGTTTATAAGCACAAAGTTATACATTGCACACGAAAGGAGCAAATAGGATTATTTTAATACTCTAGACATTCTGATTAACTCTTTTCAGCTTGGTCTTGATTTGTGTCACAGGTTGATTCGTTTAACATCATTACTTGTTTTACTAGATAGTGAAAGTAGTAGTGTGTTATCAACATTTATAATCGTTTAGTGGCTTTACATTAATATGATGATTTAAGAATTTGAACAGCTAAACGAGCATTGGGTTATGTTACTTTCATCCGCATGGTAGCAACATTCTCATTTAATCACTAATAGTATCTTGTTGCTATTTAATCGTTAACAAAATAATGTAGAATAGAATGTAAGAGTCTGTTAACGTTCTTGCAAGCAGCTGACGGTATTTCACTTTACGAGGACGATGAAGAGCTGACATGTAATCTTTGCCAGAGACGCTTTGAGGAGCAAGGTACTTGAACAGCATTGGACAAAAGACAATTATGCCCAATGATGAAGTTTTAAAAAATAATATTTTTCACCGCTTATGTGTGAGTAAATGCGCTGTTGTGTGAAATACAATTAAATAGCGTTAAAAAAATAACTGGCAAAAAGATTATACTTCAGTATGTACCAGTGCTGTTCCATTATTCACACCCATGGACATTCAAATTTATTTTTAATAAATTATCATCTGTCTTAGTGATTTCTATGCACGATTTGTATCATTGCACGTGGTATACGTTAGTTTGTCTAAATGTTTAATAAAAAAAATATATTGACACTTAGGAGTATACGCCCTGAGATACTAAAAACACAACACGCGTTACTCTTACATACGGAATGATGGTAATTTGTTACGTTAGTTTGTGTGTAGTTTTTGTAAATAATAAATTTCCGTTTTACAAGGCCACTGAACGGAGTTACTTGGAATTAGTCCATTGTTTAAATCTAATTTTCTATCTAAGTTGTGTATTTTTAATTACACTAAAATTTATAACTATCGAGTAGTTTAATCAGCATCAATATTGGCAAGTTTGCCAAATTTACCGAATATTATACTCCACAGGTAACTACAGCTGTCTAAAGGTGGATCTAATATTTACCAGAGACCGAGCGTTCTACTTTACTACAGTATTTATTCCTGGAATTATTCTGGTGACCTCCTCATTCATCACATTCTGGCTGGAATGGAACGCAGTGCCAGCCCGTTCCATGATAGGTAAAATGGCTGGCGATCGAAATGTTCTCGGTCTTGCATTTTGCATCCTTTCTCTCTCTGTAGATGTGGCTGGGGCTGTTAATACACCACGCTAAATCTTTCGGTTTGCAGGATATCTCCGCTTTTTCGTTGGCAATCGATACAAAATATCTCACTGCCAACGATTATAATAAACACTGTAGTTTTTATCGATGTACACATTATGTTTAGATTATGCTTAATATTTCTAGGTAATTACAGCTGCCTAAGGGTGGATCTCATCTTCACGCGAGATAGATCATTTTACTTCACCACAGTTTTCATTCCTGGAATAATTTTGGTGACGTCATCGTTTATAACATTTTGGCTGGAATGGAATGCAGTGCCTGCTAGAGTAATGATAGGTTGGTGTATCTTTTTGTTGCGCATTAAAATGAGTTTAAGCCAATTCCCACAGAAAACACGAAATTAATCAATATCAATCAATCAACAATGAATAATAACTGATTTAATAGTGTATTTTGATGGACAACAGCTATACAACAAACAATACTTGTAGAGAGTAAGTAGCTGGGAATATTCTACGATCATTCCAAGACATTATGGCCTCTTTACTTTCGTTCACGCTTAATAAATGTTACTTTTATGTTCTAGTAGGTAGACATATTAACTGTTTTGCATGAATTACTTAAATTAAATGAATGAACTAGGTACTTAAAAACTATGTAACTGTAAACCTGACCGTTTGCGAGCATGTTCAAAATGTAATGATTAGACATATGTCATAAGCAAGAACTGTGTGCTTATGAAACGACTTGTTCTCTAGTTCAGTCAAAATTTGATTAGAGACTTTCTTTTATTTATTTAATCTAATGGCAATATTATGTTAGCTTAATTTGTAATAATAGGATAACATAGTATGCGGAAATGATTAAATTAATAATTGGAAAATATAAACTAATTATGGTTTATTTTTTGACAAATCAGCAATTAGAGAATGTGTGCATGATTCATAAGTCTGCTTAACCTAACAAACACACTGTACCAATAGTTCCTTAATGAAATGTACCTACGCAAAACAATTTTTTTTTCAATAATTATTGTAATCTATATTAAACAAAAGAAATTATATTCTATTAGTGCAAATGCATGCGGATCAGATTTTATTGATCGGTAAATCTATAGACTTACTAGATGTCTTGCTTATCCTAATAAAAGATAAGCAATTAGGTATAAAATAAATTTAGGAGTGGTTTGTTTTTATTTATAAGGATTGGCGACATGTCTGTTGTTAATTTATGAAATATTTATTCTGTGAACAGGCGTCACAACAATGTTGAACTTCTTTACAACGTCCAATGGTTTTCGATCGACCCTGCCGGTCGTATCAAACCTCACAGCTATGAACGTGTGGGATGGAGTCTGCATGTGCTTCATATATGCATCGCTGCTAGAGTTTGTCTGTGTCAACTACGTTGGAAGGAAGCGACCTCTTCACAACGTTGTTTATAGACCTGGCGAGAATCCTGTCACGCAGGTAATGACCCAAAACCGTTTTATTTTGCTTATATTAACGATGTGTTTGAATATAATGTTTTTGTCTTTTATTGCCTTGAATGTTACAATAATATTGCACTTTGTCGGCATATGGAAAAAAAGCCCTTTTACAGCTTTAATTCCCTTTGCCTCTATTAAACATATAAGTACTATACGCATTTTATTTTGTAACTTATACTTAATCAAGTTTCTTCATAAAGATACAAGATTTTTAATAAATTTTCATATTTAATACTTAAAACCAGATTTTACGTATGATCGTTTACTGTTTTTTATGTGTTGGCTTAATTATAAAACAAATAAACTTTTATTATTCTTGTCAAATAATATATATAAATTAATCTGTAAATAATAAGTGTACTATAGAAGCTATCCCTAATACTAATTAAAAATATTACGATAATAATTAAATTTTAAAATTTAATAATTAAAGATACTTAATTCTTTAGAAAACAAAAAACATTTTATATACAAATAAAAAGATCACAAATTGGTACAACTTACGAATGTATTATTATTGTTCATGTTCCCGGTTAAGTAACAGTTCACATGTCTTTAAAAGCGAAATTTAACCGTTAAAACTAGATTATTTATTGTATTTATCTTCGGGAATATTTTGTATTTTAACTCTTTGCAATGTTTTCTTTAAACCACACAATTATGTAGCATGCTATCCATTTTTCTCATTTTAAACATATTCAATATGTAGCATGTGTACATTTTCGATTTTTAATGTGCATGTTTTCATGTTACATATTCTACAACACGATGGACATCAGGAAACACTATTCAGATAATATTTCGCTAGCAATCACATCACATCACTAATAAGTTTATGACTATTTGGTGTGGCCATTTTGATTCATATCTTTATTTTTCATTTTAAATTAAAAGCATAGTATAAGAAAACATTGCAAAGATTGTATATAGGCGTCGTATCAAACGTAACTTTTTACGTTATTGTCTTTTGTTGTTAACTTTTTAATTTTGTTCATATTTGGCCACAACAATATAGTCTGTGTTCACATATTTAAAGCACCGGTAGTCCATCTGTCACGAGTGAACAAATTGTCTGTATAATGTGTTCACAGCGACTGCCCGCGGTTCTGAGCAGAATTGGCATTATACTGGCCAGCCCTTTGGTAAGAAAATTCGCCACATTCATTGGCACATTCCGGATTCGATTCTGTTATATTTCTTTCCAATGTATGAAAATAAAATATACGAACAATTTCAATTTACAAACCACTAAATTGAAATTGTTCGTATATCTTAATATTTCTAATTTAGTTAAAACTGAAAAATTTGCGAACGGGTACTCATTGTAATTAAGTAATTATGAAATGAAATATAAACTATTACGAAATATTATATACTTAATAATTTATATTAAATAATTAAGTAATAAACACCATATGATAATGGTTAATGCTAAAACAGGTATAGGTATATCACATTATTTTAAAAATAATATCCTAAATTAAATTCAACAATTTGTTTATTTTATTTGGTACAGTGTGTAAAAGACACAAAATGTAATAACTAAAAGGTTTTCTTGAACAAAAACCTTTTTCTTGCTTTACTCTTTATTAAAGTAAATCAAAGCACAAAAATCACTTCTACTGAGCTCCCTTGCTGCTAGCGAATTTCCATAAAAGTTTGAATAAGTGTGTTTCATTTTTAAAGGAGGATGGGATTTTTGGGCCTGAAGTTAACTAATTGGTTTATATTTAAAAAAATTGGCCATATTTTTCTTAAGTAAATACAAAAAAGTAGCTCTTTTTACAATCTAGATTTCGAAAAAAACAATAAAATAAGAAATAAGTTAGAAAATTGATTGTAGTGTATTATTTATGACAATAAATCGATTACCATAAAGAATACACAAGTGAAATTCTCGTTTCTGATCGTTATCTTCCAATAGAGGACTTCCTATTTTGAAACTTGACAGTCCAAACTTCAAACTATTTACTTAAAAGAAAAAGACAGATTTTCGATTCGATTTGAAACGAGCGCAATATAACCGATTCTCGATTAAATTGAGCATTTTAATATCTATTTTCGATTATTTTTCTATGTTAACTAGAGAGATAAAATAAAATTGTGTACATATCTACAAAATAACAATAAAAATACAAAATATCAAAATTCCAACAAGTAACAGTTACAACAACAATTCAAGTAATCGAGCTTAGATCGATATCCCTAATATTCACTTTACTTAATTGTTGTTGTTTTAACTTTCGTTAATCGTTACACCATTTCGTTTCATTATCAACCGCAGCTTTTTTGGTGATTTTATACCGATCCTGCTTTTATATCTTTAAGTATTTATAGTGAAAAATAGCCTATTATTGTGCAATAACAGTGAAAAATCACCTGTTACAGAGTAGGTAATAGGTAATCTCACTCTTACTTATTCTACAAGAACTCATCTAGGAGAAATTGACAAATCTTGCCAGATTTTCAGCTATGAATTGTTCATATATACGCTTTCAGATGGTCCTACTTTCATCTTGTTAACACTTGGGCCCAAGAATTTATAGAGACGTCTCCTTCTCCTTTATCGAAAAGCAAAAACTCAGCCTGTAAGATAATGTATGAGCAATATATATTGATAAACTTACCACTTCCAAACAAATGAAACTCCTTGTAAATCAAATTAGCTAAAATTTGTCATTGTGTTGGAAGGATTATGTAATCTACGATGATTGTGCGCTAATCGTAGTTATTAATTTAGTGCATCACACGAAGTGCTTTGATGAGTTTCCTTGAAATCGCTATACAGCGTTACTATTGCCTTCCACGTACTCTTCTCTTTCCTCTATCTTAAATCCACTGCTTTAGGGAAGCCTTTTGAAGAGTATGCCAGCTGAGATGCATTTTTTAAAAGCGTTACCCAAACTCATCATGCATGACAAGCGGGTGATGATCGCAAACCCTATATCCTGGCACTGTTAATGCTGCTCCACATCGCCAGAAATTTCGGTTCAACATTTTCGAATAGGTTTTCTGTGACAGGTGAGGATGACATTTCGAAAAAGTTCTTATATTTAAAAATCACATACATATTATATCGCATTTAAAATAATTAATGATATCCGTCGCAATTATACAGAGAGATTATTGTCCAAAAATGTTGTTGCAAAACTTTATAAAGAAATATAACAGATTACCATTTCAATCACGACACAATCACGTTTTTGTAAGCATGCTGTTGATAAAAAATATAATAAGTAAAGGCGAATTTGAATAAATACATTGTTAGAAGTTTCTTATAGTATAATTATTAGAAATTTATAGAATATTAGCTTAAGTAAAATATTAATATTATTAGTAAAATATTAATAATATATATATACTATTTTTAATTTGCTTAACGTATAATATAACGGAACACAAAACACAATGTCTAAAATAAAAATATAATAGATCTTAGGTATTTCGTATGTATCAAGAAGAAATAGTATAACGACTGAAATAAATTCGAGGTAACTTTTCGAGTATTGCCTATTTTGTGTTCCGTTACTGGTATCATACTCTACTAATTAATTAATATTTCTTAAATAAGTACTTAATTTAGATATATTGGTATGGATACGATAATGTTGTTACACCTACAAATATACCCAAAAATGTGTATTGTCCAATGGAAATTTACTTAGCAAATAAGTTATGTGTATTGTTTACAATGTATATTATAAACTTCGTTTCCGGGACATAAATGAAATTACAAGGCAAGAACACAATATTACAATGAATGATTATATTTAGAAATCTTTATAGATAATGATAGAATATATAGAATACTATATTATAGTATTCTATGGGTAATACATAGATAATGGTCGACGCATCAACTGTCTGTTAATGACCGTGTCACTTCTAAACGAGTTGACTGGACCGATTGAGATCATAAACGCACAATATATTATGTTATGGGCCAAATGCTTAATAGATCATTATTTATAATGTCCAGACAGTTTGAAAAATGCCCAATATAAGTAGGCAATGTGATAAAAACTATTGAAATAATTAAATTGACCAAGTCCTCAGGGGTGACCACGCATCTGCATATTTATACTTAATTCACAATAAATGTCCATCAATGTCCACCATCAGGTGGACTGTGTGCTCGTTTGTCACCCTTATCCACGGAATGTAAGTAAAACTTGTTTTTTATATTCCGTGCCCTTATCCTATAAAAAAAATCTCAAACCCACTTACAATAATCTATAATCTAAAGTCATATATATCAATAGTTCCCGTTCACCTTGAATCATAAAATTTTGCAATGAGCTAGGTCCGGTCCATAGCAGAAGTAAAAGGAAAACCCCTAACAGCGATCACATACTAACATTTACATTTAGAACATTGATTATGATGTAGAACGATGTATTGGAGAACATTTTTTACACTGCTTAGATATCTTTATCTAAAATCCGGCTTACTAGAGCAATGCCTGGTGCTTACATTACTATAATTTCCGGGATATATAATTTTATCTACGTACTTAATTACTCGTAAGGTTATATGCACAGGGTGCGAGTCCAATAAGCGCGTCCGATTTTCTTTAATCCATCATAGTTACGACAAATTCGCATCACGCAATATGTCATTATGACTGAGATCACAGGTGGTAATTACATAAGTCCTTTTTATATAATTTTAGCATGCTGTTAGGTGGATGGCAACATATTAGGTGGATTACTCATAAAAATAGAGGTAGAAATAAATGAAGCAGAGAAAATTGGGAGTGACGCACGAGGCGATCTGTTTTATAAATATGTTTTACAAATTATACCTTTATGTTTCTATGTTCAAAATTACACTTTCTACATGACTTACAGCTGATATCCAGAGTCTGAGTTTATAAAAACCGCAAAATCGTACACAGCGTTTTAGCGTTCTTTCTTTATTAAAACTATAGCACTATTTCTATTGGACAATACTACGCAATTTAATTTAGCACAAATTTCTTAATTGTCAAATAATCTCAAATACTTTTTAGTTGTACAGTATTACCACGCATGAGTGAAAAAATACACAACTTCGATATTTTGCCAGCAGTCGTGTCGTCTAAAAGTGTAAAAATTATTTTTTTAATGTAACTGATTAGCCGGTTTTCAATTTATGATGCGGGAAAAGGTACAAATAATATTTAAGAAAACATTATAATAACCTAATTCAAAAAACTAAAAAGAATTTAATAATTTGCTTATAATTTAATAGCTTCTGATGAAACCACAAATTTAAGTCCAAATCGGGGCGGTTAGTTCGGAACTTTACTAGAATTGCATCACATAATAATAAATTACAGAATTGTAATTATAGTGGATTAGGTTCACATAGTGGTGTTTGTTGTTATAATGTTGGATTTCTACCACGAGTTCTACCACAGTTGAAATCGATGCATATACACAGATTAGAACAATTAAAACCCCGACTTTAGAAGCTAATAGATTACGATATGACAATTATTTCATTCTATATAGTTTTTTGAAGCTGATTTTTACTTTTCCTAAAAAGTTTAATTATACAACGACTTGTTCATCATTATACCCGCCCTCTGATATACGTAGTATAAAGGCTGATATGTTACGACAAGTCTTAGTTCATTGTCTATATTTAAAATTTTCTTACGAAACAAGTCTGTGCAATACACATGGGAATTATTTTTTGGACCAGACCGCGAACGGTTGGTGTCGGACCTAGTGTGATTTCTTGTATGACAGCGAAATCCCGAGAAGATTCTAATTTCAAACTAATCGAGCACACATTTTATATCATAAAATATTAAAGTTATTGAAGTGGTACCACTGTACAAAATAAAATCTCTAAAAATGTATTATTAGCCGTAGTATTTAAAATAGTTCGTAGCTTTAACTACCAGTTGCTATGTAGTACATTAATAGAACTCCTACTAATGATATGTTTTACAACTTAAATAAGCCTTAACAAACCTAATATGCATATAATGTTGCATAATGATGATGATAAAACATAATAAGAAGCTTTTGCTAATTACTAAAAAAATATATACGCTTAAGTATTTGCTTCGCCTGTATACCAATATTTTCATTAAATAGGAGGCGATGGAATTCCTCCATTGGGCAAAATCCGAATCGTCCGAACCGGAGCCCGGTGGTCCAGTAAGTGATGTCAATGACAACAATCGACTTAGCCATTCGTCACCAGCATTATCATTTGTATTCTTATATCGCAAAAAAACTAACGCATCATTTTCATTTCAATGCCTCTTCGGATCGTCGCAGCCCGTAAGTAGCATTATGATTTTCATTTGCATTTAAATCCAACATTGATTCACTATGATATGATCGAGTAAAATATAAATTATTTAATTTTTTTAAATCCAATTATTAAAAACTAAACCCTCATCAAACATGATAACATTGTTAATGATCGTTAAATTCTTGATTTATGTCTGTAGAAACATACTTTAGCATTTCTTTTAACTAAACAAACACCAGATAAGTACATTCTAGTGTAGTCATTATCCCAGGGAGACAAAAAACGCGAGTCAACGGGTGCTGCCGACTTAGTTTCATGTGCGACGTGTACAGGGGCTCCTGGTTCCTGCACGCACACAGCCAACAACGGTGGTGTAACTGAGGTAAATATATTTCACAGTTCTTTACACACTTTACCACCATGAAATGACACGCATACAAGCTTATTTGTCACAATGAAACATTTCATTTTTAATTTCATCGGCTTATTACGATGAGTTTTTTAGTAATATACATTTGACTCACTGGCCCATGACGCAAAAGACAAAGCCGACCTTTTAGGCTCCCTTTTTGCGTCCAACTCGACTCTTGATGACGGGGGGAAAACACCGCCGACCATCCCGCGGTGCGAGTGCTCCATGCCGGATGTGCTGTTCTCACAGCGCTCGGTTCGCAAAGCACTGCTCTCCCTGGACATCCAGAAGTCGAGTGGGCCTGACGGAATCCCCCCAATTGTGCTGAGGACGTGTGCTCCGGAGTTGGCACCGGTCCTAACGCGTCTTTTCCGGTACTCCTACTCCCAAGGCGTAGTCCCGAATTCATGGAAGACAGCTTTTGTCCACCCGATCCCTAAAAAAGGCGACCGCTCAGACCCATCCAACTATAGGCCTATCGCGATCACCTCCTTGTTCTCCAAAATAATGGAATCCATTATTAACTGCCAGCTCATCCGGTACCTTGAGGATCACCAGCTGATTAGTGACCGCCAATACGGTTTTCGTCGGGGTCGATCAGCTGGTGATCTTCTGGTCTACCTGACCCATAGATGGGCGGAGGCAGTAGAGTCCAAGGGGGAGGCGTTGGCCGTTAGTCTGGACATTGCGAAGGCCTTCGATCGGGTTTGGCACAAAGCGCTTCTTTCGAAGCTCCCTTCCTATGGGCTTCCCGAGAAATTGTGCAATTGGATCACCAGCTTCCTTGTAGATCGGAGCATCAAGGTCGTTGTAGACGGTGCATGCTCTGACTACAAGCCTATTAACGCTGGTGTTCCACAAGGCTGTGTGCTATCACCAACGCTGTTTCTTCTGCATATCAATGATATGTTGCTAACTGGTAACATTCATTGCTATGCGGATGACAGCACTGGTGATGCTCTATACACCGGCCGTGCCAATATTTCTCGGGAAAACGTCGCTGAGTACCGGAACAAACTTGTGTCTGAAGTCGAGTCTTTGCTGAACAAAGTCTCGGATTGGGGGCGACTAAATCTAGTCCAATTTAATCCTCAGAAGACACAAGTTTGCGCGTTTACCGCTAAAAAGAACCCCTTTGTCGTATCTCCTCAGTTTCAAGGCACTCCCCTTCTTGCCTCAGCCAGTATCGGTATCCTCGGAGTCAACATGTCGAGTGACGTGCAGTTTCGTGGTCACTTGGAAGGGAAGGCCAAATTGGCCTCTAAAAAGCTTGGCGTGCTCAGCAGAGCGGGACAGTATTTCATGCCGGCACACCGCCTGCTACTTTACAAGGCGCAAGTTCGGCCTCACATGGAATACTGTTCCCATCTCTGGGCAGGGGCTCCCCAGTGCCAGCTCCTTCCACTTGACCGCATCCAACGCAGAGCGGCTCGAATTGTCGACGACCGAGCCCTTTCCGATCGGCTCGATTCATTGGCACTGCGAAGAGATGTTGCATCCCTTTGCATTTTCTTTCGTATCTACCATGGAGAGTGCTCTGAGGAATTGTTCGGATTAATCCCAGCCGCCAAATTTCACGAACGCACATCGCGGCAGAACTCCCGATACCATCCACACCATCTGGATGATTGGCGGTCCACCACTGTGCGATTTAGAAGATGTTTTCTTCCTCGCACGACCTCCTTGTGGAATCGATTACCATCAGCGATTTTTCCGGACCGATACGACTTAGGGACCTTCAAGAAAAGAGCGTACTCCTTTTTAAAAGGCCGGCAACGCATCTGCGATTCCCCTGGTGTTGCAGTTGTTCATGGGCGGCGGTAGTCACTTACCATCAGGTGAGCCGCATGCTCGTTTGCCCCCTCTCCTATAAAAAAAAAAAAAAAAAAAAAACAAGAGTAAAGTAATAAACATATTCAACACATAATTCTCAATTATACTTTTCTTGTTTTACTTAATAAAAGGTGTTCAGTAGGAAATATTTTTTATTTCGCCATCATCGTTCATTTGCAAATTAATTTCTTTCAGCCATGTTTCGTCCAGGTCCGCAAAAAAGAACCTCCGCATCCGATCCGCGTGGCGAAGACGATCGACGTCATTGCCCGCATCACTTTCCCTACTGCCTACGCGGTATTTCTTATCTTCTTCTTCATTCACTACAAGGCCTTCTCTTAATGCTGCCTCTTAGTTTAAGTGCTGCAAGTTGCTTTATATAAAAAGGACAATTTATAGCATCTATATTTTGTATTCCTTACATCACCACGGCTACGTACATACATGCGTATGAAGGCAAGCTACACATGATACTTAATAAGATATTTTGAAGAATTTCGATATTAATTAAGAAATTGTGATTAAAATTGTTAAAGTAATGATATATAAGTCAATAAAATAGATATAAGCGAAATAATCTAATGCAAAAACTATGATTGCAGCTTTCTCTTGACGTAAAGATAGATATATGAAGGTGTTGTGTTTTTTACAAGTTTTGAAATAGGTTCCAAATGTTAGTCATCGGATGATCTTTAAACATGGAAATTAAAACTACTTTATTGTTAATATAAGAATTTCTTATAATAAACTATAGTGGGATCAATATCGAATAACGATTCGAGATTATTTTGAATAATATGTGATAAATAATCAAAATTACCCGACAGATTAAATATTTACTCGGTCGAATCGTAGAAGTCCACATCTGAGACCGCATCTAACATTATGAGGAAATCTATTTCAAATCTTAAAGCAGTCCAATTTAAATGATAATTAATTACTTAAGTGATTGCTCTATGAAGTAAGGTAGTAAAATACGTAACAAAATTTTGTATGTCCTAGGCAAATCACCATAGATGTAGTTAATTCATTTACACGCCACCAACAATCGTACGTTGTGATATATCAGAACATATTATATTATATCGGAACATATTATATTACTATTAAAGTTGCTTTATAGAAGTTGTGCCATAGATTTAGCTATTCGTTATGTCTATCGCGTAAATTCGATTTAGGCGTTGATATTTCAAATTATAATCTATTAAGAGTAGTTTACAAAGCTCAAATTGTAATTATCTGTAAAGTTTATTATACATTGTTCTAAAAACACGCTAACTTTCCCAAAAACGAAATCAACAGCATTGCCGCTTTGCTATAAATAAAACTATTAAAATTTAAAATAATTACGCATAGAAATTTTATAGAACAAAACACGAGCATTATCGTGAGACAACTTTATTTTCTTGAAAGTGAGTGAAATGTATCTACACTCTTTAAACGCACACAAAAACTAGCTTTCAGTGCTAACATGACTAGGATTTTACCCTCAAAACCGGTAGATCATGCTGGACGATCATATGAAAACAAGTATTTTTTGTTCATGTAATATAACCAGTGGCGGATCCAAGATTTTATTTTGGGAGGAGCTTGACACAGCTGAGGTATCAAAAAACACTAAAAAAAGCACAAAAAATTTATTTTGCTTGTGGTCATTCGCTTCGAAAAACTTTAATGATTTGGGCAGGTTGTAGAGAGTGTTTCTAGTTAGTTTGTGGCTATAGGCTACCAGATATATCTTTGTGAACCAATATACAATATACACATGGCAGTCAAAACATTCAACCTGTCTTCCGTCATTGTCGTACGAAGGCATGATTTTATTATATTGAGCGAAAAACGCTGGAACTCCACATTACAAGTTGACAAAACGATAATTAGTGAAAGAATCGAAAATAGTACAAATATGTAGTCATCTATCAGAAACTCATATTTGCGCCACTTACTTGTTTCTGCTACCTCTGATGCCGCTCTGGCTCTAAACAAAGTACCCCTGATATGAGATACTGCCAAAGTACAGTCTACACAAGTAGCATCCTATACTAGGGATATACCTATATTCCAAGTTACCAATGTCATACCGTCGGGTCTCTTGCCAACGTCTCTTAGCTCGGTTTTAAGCCCTTGTATTCCACAAGGGTCTAAAACCGAGCGAATATTTATAGAGACGAAAGTATTTTTCTTACATGAAAGTCCGTGGAGTTCAGAGGAACATTTTCGCAGGGACAGAGCGTTCGCCATGTCTGGTTTGCCACCGCACTTCAATTTTATTAACATGTTTATAGATTGTAATGTCTATAAACATGTCTAATGTCTTATAAAATATCGTTAGTATAACAAAATCGAAGAAAATTTATTTGAAGAAAAGGTTTTTTTTGCATTACATAACGACATGTTTAACCATTTTAAAATGTTTGTCTATCTGTCTGTCTGTCCGGGCTAATCTTTGGAATGGCTGAACTGATTGTAATAAAACTTCACAAGCAGACAGAAAGCAATGCCAGGAGTGATCTAGGCTATATTTCATCAAATAACTTGGACATTTACAATACTAGATCCTACCCAGACGAAGCCGGAACGAGTCGCTAGTATTAGAATATAATAAAAGTGCAGAGCGAACTTAGTCTAATTGGGTTAAGTTTAAGTTGCCTTACTTTTCGTGCGCCTATTAAGTTTCTATACGTACTTACTCCAAGAATTAAGATGAGTTTAAGGGTTTCCGCCGTGTCACGCGGGAACTCACGGTGTGATTCCATCGACATAGTGCACTCCGACACGATCGACCGTCGTACTCGCCGAAGGATCCCCGGTTAACGAGCGCCGCTAGTACTACTTATCAAGCGCGTGTACAGTAGTGCCGTAATCAATAATTTATTAATTTACAATATAATTGACGAATATCTCAGACGTTAGAATTTATTTGCCATATGGCCCACGGATCCGTTGCACGCCTCACGTACAGACAGACCGCACGACGTCGCTTAAATTTTGGATAAACAGACTGTGTCCCGCTTACCTTAACGCAGCGGACGCACTTACAAGTCAAGCTGCAGCGCGATTATGTAACTCTGGTGGTAACCGTGGTTGGTTTCGTTTTGGACGTTTGAAGTTCGTTGTTTCTTATGGTGATATACCTACATATAATATATTATCGGCTATACTTGCTTTTCATGTTTATATTTTATTTTAAGTCACAAAGTCTTATAACAATGAAAAAACAAAACGCAGTTGCAGCGTAATTATCACCGTATCGATTCCTATCGGGGGTACATCATCATCACCACACTGCACTAGGATTCATCTTGTCTACGTATGATCCACGAATTATAGACCCAATTATTGGTTAATGTTTATTAGTCTGTGTCAATGTATAAATATTTTGCTCTAAATATTTTTAAAAAACTGACATTTAAATTTTGTATTTAAAAGTTACATGTAGGTATCTATAAATGTGACAAAAATTATATGAGATATAAATACAGAGATATTCTAGCATAGAGAAAGTGTGTTACACTATTAATTCCTGTTACACAATACGACTAAGGAGCAGATTATTTTTCACCCGAAATCGATATCGATGTTTCGAAGACCCAGTGGGGAAGACATGTTTATCTTCTAGGCCAGACCCACTGGTAGAAAATTAATTTTTATTTTTTTCGTCTGATGACATACCTACATATAAATCTACATATAGTTCGAGTTATTGGAAAAAATTCGGCTATTTTAATTTTATATCGTTTAACGGGATTTTCTTTTATAAACTGCTCGTAAACGAGACTTGTAATTAGTTTATAGCCTTTTATGCTTTATAGACCTAAATCACTTGGACGTTTCTCCGTGTTTAATAAACAAAGATTTCAACAACTAAGCCAACACTAAAAAGTTTACTGATATGTCCAAAAATATATCACTTTTATATAATTCTAACACAAAATTTACATTATCATCCTTATATATATATATATATATATATATATATATATATATATATATATATATATATTATGATCATTACAGTACAGTACAAGACCACTGTTGAATATAGTCCTTCTCAAAGGAATGCCACTAACACGGTCGTGAGCAATAAATATAAATAAAAAAAAATCTGAATCGATCGACATCGACTTACATGTCTTGCATGTCTTACCCGACCGTCACTCGAAAAGTAAAGTACCTTCTAAAATATTATTATTCAGTTTTATTGGTATAAAAAGGCATAAATATTTTTATATAAAAATTGGGTAGGCAGAAGATATCCAAATTTGAAATGAGAAAAGCTATTTTTTTATTTTAAGTCATAAAATGACACCTAGGCGCTAAGAAGGTTGTAGTTATTAAAAATTTGCATTTCTTTTTTTTTCTTGTTTAAATATAATTCACTATGTTGTCAATGATTGTTCACATTTTGACATAGAAATTGTATTCAAATAGTATATTATTTAAGTATAATAGTTCATTTTGTATTCCTGTGATTTAATAATTATTGGTCTTTAAGGAGATTACGCACCTATAAAATGTCTTGCCACCACATCCCATTTTAGAACTGTTGATTATTTTATTGTAGTCACAGGTCTTTAATGTTCTTTATTGAATTTGGGTAAAATAACAGTTACGGTGAATATCAGTGCTCCCGAACTAAACCTTATTTAGTTTCTATGATGCAATGTGGTAAACTGTGTACACTGATACAGAGCTGAAATTGCATACACATTAGACACGTGTCAATCGTGAATGATCCATTCATTTGACCCGGGTCGCAAAAAGTATTGATGATTACAATCACATTTTTTGAACATTCCGGATCAAACGATTGACAGGACCTACGACCAAAGAGTAGGTAGGCATAGTAACGTCCGATGATCGACATTATCGTGCGGATCTCACAGATCACAGAGTACTGAAACTCGAAATGATACATTTGAATGATCGACCCAAATCGAATCAATACTTGAATAAACGAGTCACTAGAAATTAATGAATGACACATGTCTAATACACATCATCTCGATGGTTGGCAGTCTACTACCATTTTACGAGTACAAGGAATTTTCTGCCACGCGCGACCTCATTTTTGAACTCAATATCGCCAGCGATTTTTCTGGATTAATACGACTTATACGAACCTTCAAGAAAAGAATCTACTCCTTTCTAATAGTCCAGCAAGCACCTGCTAGATGCAGATTGTTCACTTTCGACGGTAATCACTTACAATCAGGTGAACCATATACTCGGTTGCCTATTCTTTTATAAAATATAATAAGACCAACTAGTTTATTATAATAACCGGATTTTATTATAATATGTCAATTATATACTTAATTTGTTTGATTTGTATAAGTACC